ATTTATCGGTATCAGTCAGCATTGTATATTCGATATACAAGCATTGTTTTTTTATTTACCTGTATAGTTTCCACTTGAAGTTGATCCCAACTCTGATGAACATGGGAAAGGAATCTTTTCACAGCATCTTTTTCCGCTGACAAAACTACACTGCGAATACTCTCTCTAGGCATCTGTAGGTATTCCTTGGAGTGTATAAATGTCAGAATTAGAAATTGACAAATGCGTACTGACAAAATAGTGCAGTTTTGCGAGGAATGCCTGTGAGTGAAAGGGCTTAACTCATCAACTTTTTGCCTACTAACTTCAAGAAACTACAGTATGGAAAGTGATACGATCTATATTTTATATGTTGGGATTCTGGGTTTAACTCAAGGGTTTTCAAACAAGATGCAAGATGGTGCTAAAGTAAAATAATGGCTAAAAATATATATATAATCATAATAATAATGATAATGATAATTGTAATAACTATAAAAATATAAATAGCTTCCATATCATATTTTGGCACAATGATAATTTTACAATCATGTCATCTTTATAATATCACACTTTATACACTTTTAAAAATAAAGATTCCAAAAGAGAATTTTCACAGCATATGCCATAGAACAACAATGTTTGGCTTTCATAAAGAGTCTTTCAGTGAACACTTCTTAAAAGAACCATTTTTTTCTTAGTGTGAAGAACATTTTAATAATCTTAAGAACCTTAATCCACTATAAATAACGTTTTGTGCAATGGAAAGGTTCCATTGAAGTTAAAGGTTCTTTATAGAACCAGGAATGCCAATAAAGAACCTTTATTTTTAATTGAGTATTTTAAAAATAGTATCCCCTGCAAAGGGATATTTAGGGCTCCTTGGCATCAAAAAGTTTGAAAACCCCTGGGTTTAACTGACTAGATTATTTGCCATCAGTGAGAATAAGTTATACCTGCATTAAAAATCTTAAAGCAGAGGAGTTGCCCTCTCTCTGAATGAGATCCCACAGGACAGGCTGCTGGGGAGAAAAGCCTTTGAAACTGAATGCATCGAACTGAATGCATGGTAACATAACAATAAAATACTAACATGAAAAACGATGCAACTTTTAAATGCATGACATACACTGAAACAGCTTAAAAGATCCTCTTTTAAAGTTGAGTTTTGCTCTCTCTTCAGGAAGACGGCAACAGTGTGAAGGACACTTATTGATGCATCGGGCCGTAGAGTAGCCCAGAAGGAAGCATTGTCCTGGAGGCTGCACAGAAGAATGGCCTGACCCAGGCTCTGACGCACCTCTCGTTCTCCGTCCATACCCGCTGAGAGCCCCACCACAAAGTCCAACACTCGAAGCACGTAGCTCACCGTTGCTAACCAACCCGTGCGTTCATCCACTGCTCCATCACATAGAGTGATCTTATAAATGCCGTCTTGTAGAATGGGCAAGGGGTTCACACAAAGTTGAGAGGTGTTGAAGTCATACGGCGCTGGCAGCATGTCAAACAGCTTCTGGAGGACACACTTGGTGCCCTGCTTCTCTTCAGAGTTCAAACAGTAGTCTAAGAGTGAAGGTTGCTTTTGAACCAGTGTGAGGTACAGTGTGGCATTTTTGCAAATATAGTTCTTCAAACCTGCTTTACTGCTGCAAATCTCAAGGGTGGTGGTGTTCATAAAATGTTCTTCCTTCCAGTTCAAGTAATCACAGTTCTCTTTGGGGACCCCATGAGAGTGATTAGGGATAACTTTGGAGCAGTACTCTGCCGCCCAGCTCCCATCTTGGAGTATCTGAGATGACTCATTTCCACACAAAGACGCAATAAGGGCTGTGTTATTGGGCAGAAAACACCTTCTAAAATCCTTGGCGTTTAGAGTTTTGCTGCTTAGCAGTGCTAAGCAATCCTCGGTGGCATCTGGAGGAGATCCCCCAGAAACATCTTTGGAGAGTTGAAGACAGAGGTCATCAATACTTGACTGGATGAGGTACTGGTAATCCTTTGTAGCTTCTGCCTGAGAAAAATTTTGCAGCAAGGTGATTGCTAATACAGAAAACTTTAAAGCAATAGTTCACTCAAAAATGAAAATGCTGTCATCGTTTACTCACCCTCCTCAATCCAAACCACAAGACTTTGGTTAATCTTTGAAACAAAAATTAGGATATGTTTTATGAAACCTAAGAGGTTTGAAAGTCCAGGTAACTAAAACTTAGAAGTTCCAAAAAGTTCATAAAGGAGTTCATTAATAAATCCATATGATTGAGCGCCATGAGCGGTTAATCTTGTGAAGAGATACAATCATTTTATATGATTACCAGATTTAATTTAGCTTTAATTCACATATAAACACACATATATAGAGCGCATCACATATGGTAAATATGGAAGGTTGTGCGTGCATCATGCATTAGAAACAAATTCAGATTTTTTTCTGATTCTGAAAAAATTGGTTCGCATGCATTGTGCACATATATTTGAGCTTCCATGTTTACCATACATAATGTGCTCTATGTATGTGTGTCTATGTATAAATAAATGCCTAAATTAAATATTTTCATCTTGAATTACACAATGTTTTTATGGATGCATTTTAAAATGCCTGAAATAGATTTTTGGATCTTTTAAGTTTTGGTTACCTGGACTTTCAAAGGAGAGATAGAAACCTATTTAACCTTCATTAAAAAATATCTTAATTTGTGTTTTGAAGATTAACCAAAGTCTTGGGTTTGGTGAGTGAATATACATTTTTGGTTGAACTAACCCTTTATTCATAGACACTAAACTAAAACTAAAAGTAACTGTGTACCTGATGTGCATGCTGCAGCCAGAATGTAGAGTTGGCACACACTGTTTTGTTAAACTCGTGAGCGAAGAATTCACTGCAAACATGAACCCAAAGAAAATCTTCCTCTGCTGCTGAGAGGTACCAAGCAGCATCGGAGCAAGTCACATGCAGGTCTACCCCAAAATGGTTGACTTCTGGGTCCTGTGAGCCATTCTCTCCATCGAAAAGATTACAGTAGAGGAAGACAGTAAAATTCGAGACTCCAGTGAGACCAGGGATAGAGGCATTACAGGCAGCTTCCAGAATCTCTGCTGACGGTGAGGGGTCTGAATCACTCTGCTCGTGGACTTTTGGCTGGGACTGGTGAAGTTTAGGTCTTCTGGATGAGTGCTGAGCTTTCAAAGTCTTTGTTTCCTCCTCTGGAGAGGGGCAGGTCATCAAAGACAGCCTGCTAGGTAAACCATCTGACCTGAAACCCATCGCTTGAGCGTTCCATGTCAAGTTATGTCTAATTCCCCTGTACAAAGAGGACAACAAAACTGTTCATATACAATAATCTTTACTATGCACTTATAGTTTAATAATTCAAAGTCTCGCTAATTCTCATGACACTTACCACAATATTAACTGCCTGAGGTCACCTTTACAAAGAAACAAAAGTGAATGGAAAAGTTCTGGGTGAATAGTTATATACAAATCACAGAGGATAGCAAAGCACTGTTGATTAATTGAGGAAAATGGAGAGCCGGCCACAGTATTATACAATTGGCTTTGATGTAACAGCATAGCTGTGCACATAATACCAGTGGTATACAGTTACCGACATAAAAGAAACAGGAGATTATCCAGGCTATAGGATTTAGATTAACAAAGATCTGGTTAATGACCAGCAATGCCATTGGGATTTCAGTCAGGGTTATGCGCCATTCAGAATTGAATTGAAGATGCCTTTTAAAATCACATGTAATTTTTTCATTTGAAATTAAGTAGAAAATATGATGCAGAACAGCAATTCAAATGGGAATGAAGTAGAATTAAAAGGAAATTAAAAGATGGCTGTACTTTTGAACTAGATAAGCAAAGTCTCTGAAGTTCGAACTTTGAAGTCTTATATGCCTTACAGACAGAAGATGGATGGATGGATGGATGGATGGATGGACGGACGGAAACAACAAAATGACAGACAGATAGAACAGTAGAACAACAGATACAGTAGATAGATAGATAGATAGATAGATAGATAGATAGATAGATAGATAGATGGATAGACAGATAGATAGATAGATAGATAGATAGATAGATGATAGATTTTTTATTTAACAGAATGCATTACTTGTGGTGAACTTCTTTGAATTGCAATTCAGTTCATTTGTTTTCCTGATGTTCCAATTGAAATTAATGTTACAGGTAAAGTATTATATGCGTTATGGAGGTTAGAGTCTGTTTAAAGTAGCAGTACTCTACTTGCCTACAGAACATCTTCCATGGTGACTGTACTGTGGTTCGCCCACCATACTGCTTACATCATCCAGCAGTGCCTTGGTCATATGTGACACTTTTCTTCTCAGATTACCATACACGCTGCGGCCAACATTGTGCAGAAATCCATGTCTGAGGTTATCCAAGCCCTGCAGGAGGGCAGGATTACGCTCCGCGAACTGTACTGCCCTTTCTCCTGCGCTTGACCTCGACAAAGCCTGAAGAAGCAGAGACTGCATAGAAGCAAGGCTCTCTGAATCAGTGCCAGACTGGTTCAACAATAGCTGCTCCTCAGGAAGCACCTCAGGTGGCACGAGGAAGGGTTTGAAACGTCCTGTAGAGAAGATAGATAGATAGATAGATAGATAGATAGATAGAACAACGGATGGATGGATGGATGGAACAACAGAATGACAGACAGATAGAACAGTAGAACAACAGATAGATAGATAGAACAACGGATGGATGGATGGAACAACAGAATGACTGACAGATAGAACAGTAGAACAACAGATGATAGATAGATAGATAGACAGATAGATAGATAGATAGATAGATAGATGGATAGACAGATAGATAGATAGATAGATAGATATATAGATGATAGATTTTTTATTTAACAGAATGCATTACTTGTGGTGAACTTCTTTGAATTGCAATTCAGTAAATTTGTTTTCCTGATGTTCCAATTGAAATGAATGTTACAGGTAAAGTATTATATGCGTTATGGAGGTTAGAGTCTGTTTAAAGTAGCAGTACTCTACTTGCCTACAGAACATCTTCCATGGTGACTGTACTGTGGTTCGCCCACCATACTGCTTACATCATCCAGCAGTGCCTTGGTCATATGTGACACTTTTCTTCTCAGATTACCATACACACTGCGGCCGACATTGTGCAGAAATCCATGTCTGAGGTTATCCAAGCCCTGCAGGAGGGCAGGATTACGCTCCGCGAACTGTACTGCCCTTTCTCCTGCGCTTGACCTCGACAAAGCCTGAAGAAGCAGAGACTGCATAGAAGCAAGGCTCTCTGAATCAGTGCCAGACTGGTTCAACAATAGCTGCTCCTCAGGAAGCACCTCAGGTGGCACGAGGAAGGGTTTGAAACGTCCTGTAGAGAGTGTGGCATCCCTTTGATTGCTTTCTACACTCACGGGGTGTAGACTGACCATGGGTTTCCAGTTCCTGGTTTCCATAAAGCTAATGAGCTGCTCAAGCCAGCTCAGGTTGAAGGCACAATCATTTCGTCCATTCAGGACACAGATGAAACCCTGGAGACCGGCGACGGCCTGGCCGTACGTCCCACTGACCAGAGCTTGAAGAACAGTTTCGAGCAAAGCGCTGATAGTCTTCCAGTTCTGAGAAATGAAAGTCAAGATGGGTTTTTGGGGCTGGCGTTCAGTGAGGGTCAAAATGCTTTGCACCAAACCCAGAAGTCCATCCCAATGTGGGCTGCCCCTGAGTGACAGAAACAAATCCTGAAGCCTGAAAGTGGGTCGCGGAGGACTCTTCCCGTCCCATAATCCGAGCGACGTTTCCCTTCCCATCTGAAGAAGAGAGTAGAGCAGGTTCTCCCAAAACTGGTCATCACCAAACGGTTGCTGCCGATCATCTAACTCTGCGTTCATCTCTTGCAGGTACATGGAGATGTTATACAGGAATCCTGAGAGCCTGTTTCTATCGAAGGCTTTGTTTAAAGATGGGAGACTCTTGCTTTTCCTTGGCAGGACACCTAGAGACTTGAGGCCTCCCATAATGCTCCTCACTATGGAATGAATTTGTTGATCTTTCTGTCTTTCTGCTGGTGGTTGTGCTCTGTGTGGGTTCCATCTTCCACCGTTCCTCCAGATCTCAACAAGCTCTTTCAAAATCGCCTCCTTCTGGTCCTCTTTTTTGCTGGCTAACATGAGAAAAACACTGATAGAAGTTAGAGTGTGAAACAAATTGAGTCATTGTACAAACAAAGAACAGGAACAGCCAGTATTGTCTTACCTCCAGCAATGGCAGATACTTGTTCCAGTATGAGCAAAATCACTACAATTCCCAACTTGCCCATCCTAAGTTCCTTTGCCTCAAGATAGAATGGACAAAGTCATATTGTTGTCTTTGTTAGAGTGCATTTGTGTTCCTTTAGGAGCTGACGGAGACATTCAGGGAGTAAAGTGTCACACTGTGGAGTGCACATGAAATCTTAATGACTATCCAACGCCACTTGGCTAAACTTTCACAAAGAAAAGTTTGCCACTTTCTAAACTAAACAATAGGGGTTATGAAAATACATTACATACAAAAATTCACAGGTTTTTCTTTAAAAAAAATACATTTAATTGCTACAACTAAATTTAGATATTTCATGCATTCATAAAAAAAACTATTGCTACAAATTACACTTTAAAAATATTTATTTTTTGCAAAATTTACATATATGCATCTTGTCTTAAAAAAACAAAACATAAAATCCAGACATTTGTAATATACTAATAGAAATTAAAGGATTTTTTTAGTACTTACAAGCAGTTGTATCCATTTAATCCTGTCAGTATCTGTGAAAATAGGATTGTGCGTAAGTGTGAGCAAATTATTTCTCCGTCCTACTCTCTACATCCTCCTCTCTCAGAATTTGTCACTTTTTGATCCGCTCCCCCTCCCAGTCTTTCAGATTCAATTGGATCCTCAAAAGCCACAGCTTCATGTTTCAGCGGCATCGTCCCGTCATGTGCCAGCTGACTGTGTGCTGGAGTGAGAGGCCAGAGGCTCAGGGATGTAATATGAGAAAAGAGAAAGGCCAAGGAACTTTAAGAGGGTATACTCTTGTATCACAAGGCAATTTCATAGTAATTAAGATTAAAGGAGTTACAAAGGTAGGTCATTACTTTCGACTGAGGATAAAAAAGGGCACAGTTGATACACAATAGATAATGCACTTGTACATAACGCTGCATAATAAACAATCCAAAATGTATATAACCCAATCTTCATGGTGATAATGACAATTACTTATAGTGTTTTTTTTTTTTATTATTTGCATACTACTGTATATGAAAATATATAATATCATAGTATTTATTAATATTTTGAATCTTTCATTTTTATTTCATTCATTTTCATTTTAGCTTAAATCATACTCATTGTTATGTGCTTTTGTCATTTCTATTTGTTATTTTGTGTTTCTATTTAGCTTTAATTTATTATTATTTCAGTTTTAGTACAACTTATTTAACTTCAATTAATTGCCATGGCAACATATCTAATTTTCAGTTATTTAAATTTTTTATCAAATATTTCAGCTTTATAATAACACTTACCACCAGTGTTATTTTAGTATTTTTTATATACCATTACAGTATTTATTAGCTTTTTTTTAATTATTAGTTTTCATTTTATTTGAACTTTTAATTATTTTGTTAGCTGCTTTTGTCGTTTTTATTAGTTTTTTTCTATTTCTACTTAGCTTTTTAATTAATTTCAATTTTAGTTTAAATATTTCAACTTAAACTTATTTTAATTTATATAGTTGCCAAAGCAACCTTTCTAATTTCGTTTAAGTTTTTTATTTAATATTTTTTATTCATATAATATTTTTATTTAACAACACTTACCGACCAGTGTTATTTTAGTATTATTTATATAGCCTACTATTGTAGTACTTTTTATTGTTTTGAATTATTTATATTAATTTTAGTTCAGGTTTTTGTACATTTGTTATGTGCTTTTGTCATTTTTATTAGGTATTTGTTTTAAATTTCTACTTTTTATATCAGTTTAGGTAATTTTAGTACTTCAGCTTAAACTTATTTTAATTCATTTAGTTGCCAAAGCAACAAGTTTTTCATCTAATTTTTATATTTATTTCAATCAAACAAAAAAGTCAACATTTTCCCCCCTCAAAAGCTTACATAAAGCACTTAATCAGAATGTAATCATGATGAGCCCTATTTTATTCTTCAATCTGATATCTCATGAGGTAATTTTCACCTGTGCCAACACTGACATAAAACGGTACCCTTGTCCTGGCGGGTATTGTTTTACTTATGTGGCAGCCAGCAGGTCGCCTACAGCTGTCATAAAACAAAAGTGCCCCTAAGCCACCGTCAGCACACAATCAGGCCCTTCACTGATGTTCAAAATCATCTCGCTCTTGTCTAAAGCCTGTCTACAGCAGCTGAAACCCGAGTGGATTGAGTGAAAGGCCTAGCACAGCCTCCATACAAGCCTTCTGATTCTGTGTTGCTGTCGCCTGCAGAGGAACAATAACTTCCTCTTGTATTATTGATGCCTGAGGGAGCGGCGTTCACTCAGCAGCATGGAGCTCAGTTGGCTGCAGGAATATTAAATGAGAAACTTTACTCCTCACGACTAACTCCACTCAAATCGCACAGCAGTGAGCTTGTTTGTTTGCTCTGACGTGCATATGACTAAACGATGCACGAAAATATAGCGAAGGACAAAAAATCGAATAGGTGCTGTCTGACTGGATGACTGTGCATTGTATATGAAAACAGTCAAAGGAGCTCATAGATCCAAACTCCAGATATGAGCCTTAGCTTAAGTCTGTCTTAACTTATTAAGGCATGTTAGAACAACTAGAGTTCCAAAGCATCTGGTCCAGTGTATCAAGTAACCCACATACATGATAGACTCTTAGATACTTCTAAGATTCTTATTCCCTTCAAATTAACGTGTTGTCAGACATGCATACTAAAAAGTGTTGTATTTACTCACCAAACATTTTTAGGCCCTTATTGTCACACCTCTGAATCATTCTTCTCCATCTGGTTGGGACAATTAATTTCTGCGTACCTAAAATAATGCAATGAAAAATCCTGTTCTAAGAGCCATTTGTTCCAGTGGGAAAAAGACTATCTACATGTAGCCTATATATAGTAGACCTACTTAAGTTCCATACGTTTTGTTTGTAAGGTTTCAAGCACATTGTCAAATTTTGACATTCAGACAGCGATCAAGAAAATGCATAAATTATATTACAAAACAATATGACAAACGCAAGATTGTATTAGGCCTCAATAATGGTCTTATCTCTTGTATCAAGACTGTTAATACAAAACGTAAGAATTCAAAGAATTACCACAAATAACTTCTTTAACTAACCTCTTGTCTTGACTTAATCCACAAAGTTAGGATGTTTAATGAATTTATTGGGTTGCTGCAATTATTAAGCAGGGCAACATAACACTGGTTATTTAATGCTACAAATATTTATCATCTAGCAAGTAAATTCTATTGTGACAGTTAATGTAATTAAACTAAAACATCTCACGCACTTTACATTCAAAAACGAAAGGTGTTTGCTACTTAAGTTAACATATTTACCAGTGTAAAGCATTGACAAAGCAATCATATGAGCTGAATAGTTTACAATCAGACCCCTGTTAATTAATATCTAAGAAATTTAAGTAAATTCAATGGGCAGCGCAAATGTTTTGACTGAACAGTTTGGACTCATGATCATATAAAACATTTGATGAGATTTCACAGTAAAATGAGAAAAAAAAATGTGGTAACTAGCATTGTGTATGTTCCCTAATCATATTAATATGTGATTATGCAACATATTAAAGCAATATAAATATATTTGCATTTCAAACTAGTGGAAGCAGCATGCAGTTTTAGTTGTAGTGTTTCTGTGCATTTATTTGAAAGAAAACTAACAAATGGCATGTTACTGTTTCAAGAACTTAAAGGCCTTTACTAAACACTAGCACTAAATCCTCTGGAAGTTAATGTTTAAGTACAATAAGTGGCTTCACTGGCATTCGTTTAGTTTGCTTTCTGTTTTAACATGCTCTGTCTGGGGAAGTAAAAAGATCTGAAACATGGTTCAGACTTAGCTTGAACTTGCAATACCACATTTAGCCTCTAGATGTCAGATTTCTGCACAGAATGTCGGTAAAGTATTGACTGTTCGAAATTGCATACTACTAGTACTGTTTTTGCAGTGTATAGTATCCTGCAGTATGTGAATTCTCAGTATGCATAGAATTCCTAGATGAGCTGCTAATTTTGTCAAAATGTGCAGCATGCAATCAGAGCACTCTGCTTGAGAAACTGTATCCCACAATGCAGTGTGCTCAGCCTTCCTTTACCAGTGTAATGCACCTGTAATATTACTATCTCTCTAGGCTCACTAGTTAATCAAACTGCCTATAAAATTAAAGCATTTATATACAAAACTGTATTTTATATTCCAGATGATAACTGGACACCACTTATTGAATTATGCATGCAATATAATGAGGTCATCTCACTACAGTTTGCAGCATAAGAAATGAGTATGGTTGCATAATGCATACTGGGAATAGAGAATGGAAATGAGAATAACTGACAGTATTGTTCTACAGGAGATTTTTGCTGATCTTTATTTTGTATATTATTTACATATTTGGTCTATTATTATCTGGATTTATCTGGAAACAGTACTAGTAGTATGCAATTTCAAACAGTCAATATCTAATTTTCTCATGAGAGTTGCTGCTTTTCTTTAGCTGTCTGATAGATTATATCTTAAAATTCATAAGACAAGGAGAAGATATTTGACAGAAGCAGCATTATAATTGTTAACCAAAACTAAAAACATTTAACAGATGATATAAATGTTAACTGAAATGAAAATGTTAACTTAAAACTTATAATAAAACTAATTAAACTTTTATAAAATAAAAAAAAAAAAGGAAATAAAAGAGTTATCGAATAAGCTTGTTCTAAACTCCTGAAACATTGTTGTTTCATATTTTAGAGCAGTCACTGCAATTTATGAAAGAACTCAATTAAATCTGTATGTGGGAGTATGTGTGGAAAAAATCATATGTAACCCCCTTTGTAATCCTTAACATTTTCATAAGTAACTGTAATTTAATTACACATTTTTTCTTAGTAACTGTAACTGATTACAATTACTTTTATTTTGTAATTAAATTACGTAATTCTGTTACATGTAACTAGTTACTCCCCAACACTGACTGTAATTATGAACTAGATGAGTAAAGTTTGAGAACAAATTTTGAAGTTGGCTTGAGAAAGCCTAGCCTGAAAGTTTGAAGCAGCTGTAAAAGCTTGAAGGTTGAAAGTTTAGATTTGAGACATGTTGCTAGCATCATTTTAGCTTGGTTAGCATGTTGCTAGCATTTTTTAACACAATTTGTATGTTGTTAGCATGTTTTAATACAAGTTGCATGTTGTTATCATGTTGCTAGCTTGATTTGCATGTTGCTAGCATGATTTTAGAATTATTAGCATGTCTTTTAAAGCAATAAGCCCCAAGAAGCCGTGGTTTACATTGAATTTATAACAGCTAAGGGGCGTTGTTCGGCACGACGCGAAGCTGTTATAAATTCACTGTAAACCACGGCTTCACGGGGCATATTGCTTTTATAAAACGGTTATTCCATATACGTAGTTAGGTTTCACAAAATAAAACAGAGCAAATAAAGTGTAATGATATTAATAAAA